AAACCAGCCGGTTGCTCAGCCGTCTGAGTGGGAAGACAAAATTCTCCCCACCAGGCAGGTCCAGGAAGGGACGCGCAGGCTGGCGTTCAGTCCAGCAGCAGGTGTGCGTAGGAGTGTGGGCGTCTCAGGGCAGGAGAGGCGGCCTTCAGAACGTCCCCAAGGCCCCTCTGGGGACCCGTGGACCAATTTTTACTTCTTGATGTCAACTAGTTTCAGAGTGGTATCTTTTAAAGCTTTAGGTAAAAATGAGTTTGTTGCCTCGTGTCTGTCTTTAACAGTCCATGGCTGGGGAGAGGGGACCAGGGCACTGGTTGTTTGTCTTACAGAGAACGGAAGGGCTGTGTTTTAGGGATGGCCGGCGGGTGGACGAATGCTGGAGAAAGTGAAAGTGGCAAAAATATTCGGACAGTCACAATGTTCAAAACATGGCAAAGCTACGACGAGTGTCTCCGGCCTACAGTTAGGGTGACAGGTTTGCAGGTGGGCTCAGTGTCTGCATGGGCTGGAGAGAGTGCTGGGTGCAGAGTCGGCACACTGCGGCTTGGGGGTCCAGTCCGGCCCAAACAAATGGGTCAAACGCCTACTTCTGTAGAGCCCACAACCTAAGAACGCTTTCTGCATGATTAGATGGCTGAAAAAAATCAAAAGAATATTTCGTGCCATGTAAAAGTTGTGTGACATTCACATTTCCATGTCCGTAAAGGAAAGTTTACTGGAGCACAGCCGAACCCGTTCGTCTGCAGGTCGTCTCCAGTGGCTTTGGTGCCGCAGCGGAAGAGTCGAGCACTTGAGAAAGGGACTTGTGTGGCCCGCAAAACTTGAAATGTTTACTCTGCGTCCCCAGACAGACAGTTTGCTGACCCCTGGCCTCGTGCCTGCTTCATTCAAATGAGACAGTTCCAAATAACGTCCAGGGGGTGGAACCTTGGAATTCTAGGTGCCTTTCGATGTTGCCGGGACGGGTGCAAGTGCCCAGAACCCCTCCCCCCACTTGGATGGTTGAGCTGCTGTGGAATCCCTGCCTGCGTCCTGCCCCTGAGCCTGCGGTCCAGGCCTCGCCCTCCGTGTGCATTGGCCAGTTGGGGCTCTGGCCTTCTCATGCCTCACAGAACTCCGCCTCTCAGCCTCGCACCCCTACCTTGGCGGTATTCACAGCGAACATTTCTTGAGAGCTTCCTCTGGGCCAGACATTCATTTCTCAGGATGAGATCGATAATCCTAGGAGGTAGGTGTCATCATCATAGTTACTGGCATTCCCATTTTACAGATACAAAACTGAGGTTCAGGGAGATGCAATAACATGCCCGTGGCACACACCAGTAAGTATCAGAGCCAGGACCCAAACTGAAGCCATCTTGACTCCAGCGACTGCGTGGTGGGAGGGAGGGGTGGGTGGGGGTGCAGGGGCTGAGCTGTGGTTGTTTTTCATTGCTGCTCTGCCTCGGAATTCTTCCCTTGGATCCCTTCTCACTGCGGCGGTCGCACCCAAACCCAGCCCAGCCCAGGGGATTGTTGATTCTTTGGACTGGTTTTTCAAAGCCACATTTCTCTTAATTTCTCCTAATGCAGCCGCAAGGGGGCAGAACATTTCTGAGACACTTTACTAAAAAAAAAAAAAAAAAAAGATAAGGAAAACCAAAGGAGAGACAAACTAGAAATTTATAGACAAATCCATCCCCACCCCCTCCCCACAGCGAGGCCGGTCCACAAGCCAGCGTGGCGGACACAGCACCTCCGCACCTGGCCCCTGCGCCGGGAGGCATCCCACCCCGAGGCCTCCCCTGGGAGCTCCCGTCGGCTGTGCTGTGCTGCTGGCTGGCGGGTAGCATCCCCAAGGCCCAGCAGGAGCTTAAGGCAGCACAGGGCTGGCCCGGTCTGTCTTCGGCACTCAGCACCTTCCCACTTTGCGTTTCCAGCTCCTTGTGGGGCGGCCTTGCGCCCCACCCCTTCTGTGCTGAACGCCACGGCTTTCTGCCTGGGCTTGCTCCTGCGGGGCCGCGTGCCAGGTTCCAAAATGCTTCCGTCCTCACGACAGAAACTTCTAACTATGTAACCTGTCCCCTCCCCCCAGAGGACACTGGAGATGAGCATTTCCTTCCAACCTCCAGCTCTGCTGCAGCAGGCAACTCTGGCCCTGTCTTGAGAAGGGGTCTAGAGGGCTCCCCCTCTGCAGACAGGGAGGCTGGCTTCCCAGCGGTTTATTCTTGCTCCTCCTCCCACAATCCAGCCTTTCTGAGCATGTCAGAAATTTCCATTCCTCCCGTCTCTCCCCTGAGGACTGAACTTCCTTCCAGAGGGAAGAGAGAAATTGAGTGGGGTGGGTGGGCTCCATCTCTCAGCATCTCCCCCTTCGTGTCCTGCTGTGATTGCATCCACCTTCAGCTGCCCTCCCCCAGCTTGAGACTTGGTTCATTGGACTTCGAGTTTCTTTTCCCTTCCTCAGTAGATGTTTCTGCCCTAGGAGCTCAAGGCCAAGAATAAGAGAGAATTCCTGCAGAGTGTGCCCGCAGGAGAGCAGGCACCAGAGTGGAAGTTAGTGCGCACTGAGTTAATAGAGGGGAAGGTCATGTTTGACTGTGGGACAGTCTGGTAAGCCTCTAGTCCCAGTCTTTAGCTCTGCCCTGGCTGCTAGTCTTGTCTTTATGTGCGAGGATTTGACCAGGTTGGAGACCCCAGCCCTGAGCTGGGCCTTCCAGATTGGAGTCCCACAGCAACCAAAACCCCCTGAGCTGTTGCACGTGTCCAGAGTGACTTTGTGGGTGAAGGAACCTTCACATCATAACTTTCAGCCTTTCTCGGGGCAGAGGTGTCACACAGGGTCTGCAAAATGGATCCTTTAGGACTTCTGATTTCTATTGAAAGCAAACCAGTTTGAAGACAGGGTATACTGGCTTGTTCTGGAAATTTAGGTGGGTTTTACAGAAAGAAAAGAAGGAAGGAAGGAAGAAGGGAGGGAGGGAGGGAGGGAGGGGAGGTTGGAGAGAGCTTTATCTGAAGGTAGTGCACATGAATATTGATAAGGGTGTCACATCCCCAAGGCTCTTGATAGCTGCCTGCCACTCTTGCAAACAATGAGGGAATATTTCTTCATAATAAGCCTGCAGAGGGATTGTGCAATTTCTTACACTTGGCTTGGTTCAATTAATGACACAGTGACTTGCAATCAATTTTTTATTTTTCTCTGTGGTGCATTAGAACACCCTCAGTGGGCATGTATGTGCGTATTATTTGGAAAAATATATATTTCTCTGTTTTTAGGAATTGCAATGAAACCTCAAAATCTAATTTGTCTTACTATAACAACTATGCCAACTTTAAATAGGCATATAAATGTCACTTAGGAAAGCTACCAAAATAGTGTGTTTTCATAAATATTTTTCTTTCCAGTTAAGTAAGTCCCAAGACTCTCTCTGAAATATGTGTTTGGGAGCCAGGAGTTCAGATTTTAGTCTTTGCTGCTGACCTTACATTTTCATTTGGGATCTACTTAAGTTTGATATAATCGGTAGCATTCTTTTTACATTTTTGCTCAGTAATTCTGATTTTTTATTTTTTTAGCTTTATTTTTTATTTTTATTGTTGTTCAAGTACAGTGGTCTCCATTTTCCCGCCACCACTTTCCCCCACCCCACCCACCCCCACCTCCCACCCTCAGTCCTTCCCACCTTCGGCTTTGTCCACGGGTCCTTTATACATGTTCCCTGATGACCCGTCCCCTTCTTTTCCCCTTTAGCCCCCTTCCAGTATTCCCCAGAGTATCCCCTCTGGTTACTGTCGGTGTGTTCTTTATTTCAATGTCTCTGGTTCTATTTTACGTGCTTGTTTGTTTTGTTGATTAGGTTCCACTTATAGGTGAATAATTCTGATTTAAAAAACTGCAAACACAAGAAAACCCCAGCTCCTTCCTTTCTGATTCCAAGATCCCTGGGGCGTGGGTGTCACTTTGTGAACCGCCCTTTGAGGCCGTGCTGATGGTGTTATTCTGAAGAGCGACAATGAAGAGTAATGTTTTCCTTCTCCACGCACCGCCACTCCCAGGGAGCCTGCCCTTGCCCCGCCAGTTACTCTGGGGTGACCCAGAACTGGTAAAGCCAGACGCACAGGTGTCACTCGCATTGTCACCGAGTCAGGAGTGGAGCCAAGTAGACCTTCTTTAACTCTGGCCTCTTTCTGTTTTCTTCCCGCTCCCCACAACTTTCACCCTTATTTTTCATTCTTCCTTTCCTGTCTTCTCGCTTTGTCCCCTATTATCCGGAAAAACAAAGCATTTGTTTGACCGTCCATGTCAAATCGACTGGCCGTCTGCCACCTTGTGTCTCATCCTTCTCTCCACACAACCTCCCGAGATGACTGGTCTGTGCAAGCCCCCTCACTGCTCCCTTCACCTCCCCTGGGCACTCCTGTCGTCTGAATTTCACATCATCACTCGGCTAGTCGTGTACCTGGCCTCCTCGTGGTCCAATTTCAAGCCTTTTACTTCCCTTCATTTTCCAGGAAACCTCCGCAGCACTTGCAGATTTTGGCAGCCTCTCTTCCCTGAACCCTTTTCTCGTAGGTGTCTGCTTTCCCTTCCCTCCTCTTCCTTAATGGGGCGGGGGGCGGGGGGGAGTTAGTGAGGTGCCTTAAGTAGGGTGACCAGACCAAGACAGACTTGAGAATTCAAGGTGCACAGTGACAACAGGCACAAACAGAGATCTTCCCGGGCAAATGAAGATGTCTGCCACCCTCTCCTTAAAGCCTGGGGGAGGAGGAAGTGGAGAGGCACTCAGGGCAGGATGTGAACGAGCAGAGATCAAGGAGCACTCACAAACCCATCTCAGAGCTGCTTAGCTACGTCTGCTAAGACGCTGAAGTTAAAGATTCAGCTCCACAGTTATGAGAGGATGCAGTTACCCGAGGAGGAGTGTCCGAGCAGGATTCGGAAAGGGAAGATGGGTGAGAAGGAGAGGTCCAGGTGAGGAGAAGGCGGAGCTGCACGGACCAGGTCCTGGGGGCTCCAGTCACAGAGGCTGCCCTCGCAGGTGAAGATGAACTCGGGACTGCAGCCGCTTCCAGGCTCTTCTCAGCCCAGGGTTGCCCAAGATCAGCAGCACTGAGTGGCCAGCTGGGCAGACAGCCATGACGACTTTGCACAAGATACTCCAGGGGCTGTTGTTGTTGAAGACATGGGACATGGAAAGGAAGAGAGCGCCTGCGTTGACAATGTAGAGAACGAGAAAGTAGCTGGTAGCTCTGATGGCTCCCACGTGGGCCTGCATGCTGGGGTCCCCGGAGCCTGTGGCGTTGCTTTCCATGCGTAGAGTGTGCCTCTTGAGAGAGAGGATGAGCAGGGTGGCCGCCAGGATGAACATGATGAGAGGGATGAAGATCCCCAGGTTATAGAGCAGAGCCAGGTTGACCACATGGGTCTCGGAGAGGTACTCCTTGCGAGTGGCGTTGGATGAGGGCACCGGAATGGAGCTGTTCACATACACGTTGAAGATGTCTTTAGAGAAGGGAAAGCTAAAGCCTAAGGAGATGAGCAGCGACAGCCTCAGAAGCCCAGGCATGCGCGCCAGGATCTCCCTCTTCATCATGGAGAACAACGGGTGAGCGAAGGTTGCGATTTTAAGACAGTAGAAGATGGTGAGCCAGGCGGCGAGCCAGAGGGTGCAGTAGTTCAGGAACACGGTGATGACTTTGAAAGGGATGTACACCGCGTTCTGGTTGTAAGTGACCCAGAAGAGTAGACTGCAGATATTCTCCAGCATCATCCAAATCTGGAGCAAGAGCCTGGAGACGCTCAGCATCAGCAGGATGCTGTCTCCTACCGGGAGCCTTCCGCGTCGGGCCCACTCGGCCCCATGGACGACCATGATGAAGCCGTTCCCGACAATGCCAGTGACGCACTGGATCCCAGAGACCACCAAAGTGAAGACGACCTTGTCCCTGGACATGCCTTTGTCCGTGATGTCTGTGTTCACCACTGCCATCCTTTCGGGCCCAGACTTTTGGGTTTGTTTCCTTGCCAAGAACTGGTGCCTGTTCTGCAGTCTCCTGCCTCTCGCTCATTGGTGTGGGAATGTTTTCTCAGTTAATGGTTATTTCTAATTTTTCTTCATTTGCTTGTCACGTGACTACAGGTTAGAGGCTTGAAATGCAAATGGCGACAGGATCTGGTTACTGGCTGTCTCCATTTTTCATAAATACCATTTGTCTTGGGCTTTCACGAGCTCACTGGGGAGACCTGGGGACAGGTACCTGTCACAGCACCTTCCTGCCTGATTTACTTTAAGTCCGTATCTGCCTGCCAGGGCAAGAGTCCCAGATGAGGAGGCTTCGTGGCCCTTGGCCTTTTTACTTGTCTCACAAGACCTGTTACCTGCTGAATGATTTGTAAAAATGCTTTCCGGTTCCCTGATCTGCCTTCTCCTGCTTCCTGTATGGTCTCCCTTATTTGGGGAGTTTTTATGACTATGGTTGGCATGTTTACAAACCAAAAATTCCCATTAGCTCCTACGTGAACATCTTTGGCTTAGAATCCCATTCCTTCCAGAAAGGCCGGCTGTTGTAATATCCTCAAATAGTACACAGAAAAGCCAACACTGGACGCTATTTGGGTTAACTAGACAGGAGAAAGGCGCGATCATCACATTTTCACTGTGTGTGTGTGTGTGTGTGTGACTGATTATAGTTGACTGGTATCCACATCACTGCTGGAGCGCAGAATCCGGTGGAGGTAGCCTGGGAAGGCTTCCGAGTGTTCTGAACGTGGTGTTGAGGCTGGGACCTGTGAGAAAATACTGTAACTTGAAATCTGACTCCCTACTAGACCCCAGCCGTGAAACAGAATGAACTCCAGCGCTTTAAAGAATAGGTAGGCGCCCAGGACTCATTCCTGATCTAGTCGCTCAGGACCTGGCCCGGGCCCGGGCGTGCTGTGCTTCCACAGGGCCCAGGACTGAGAACCAGGCTCAGCTGGGGTTCGGGGAGTCTGCGCCACACCTAGCCTGCGCTGATGTTTGGTCTTGTGCCGTCTAAGGTTGGACAGCGTTAGTGCACCAGGGCGAACTATATTTTTCATTGGCCAGCATTTCCATTTAGGAGATTACATATATTCAGGGGGAAAGAAAAAGCTGTCTTCTCCTGCAAATGAGAAGATCTGGCGCCATGCGGTCTGCAGGGTGAATCGGCTGCAGAGGAATGGTGCCTGCCCCCCTGAAGCCAGACATGCACGCACTTCTCGGTTTGTCACAGCGCTCACCCATCCCTCGGGTCTCCTGGCCCCTGTGCCTCGGGCCACGGCGTGCCCTGTCACACTTTTTATACCATAAAGGGAGGGATGGTAAAAATCGAGTTCCCCAACTCATATTGTACAGTTGTCTTGCATTACTCCATCACGCTTGCAAATATCGAGAGAGCTTTGTTTGGAGAAAAGGAAGTTCCTGTGAGCCCGAAGGCGGGCACAAGCATGTCCCCAGCTGCTGTGTGCGCAGCAGCCAGATGCGGGTGGGGAGTGAAGCCTTGCGGGCAGACAGCTGCCGCGCCGGCGACTTCTCTCCCTCCCGCCGAGAGAGGAAAGGAGCGTTTGCCAGCAGCTCCCACGTGTCCCGAAGCCTCACACGCATCTTTCGGTTTAGTTTGTCCCAATCTAGGCAAGATGGTAAAAAAAACATCTCCCCACATTTCTCACACGTGATTGCTGATTTCCGCCGTTCCGATACCATCTTCCGTTGGCTTTCATTTATGTCTTTCTTTGGTTTTAGGAGGGGAACAGAGGCAACTCTATTTTAGGAGAAATCTCAGTGGGGTTGGCGGGAACCAACCACCAAAGGTTTCAGATTATTGGCTGTTAAGGTCAAAGCTTTGGTGCAGGTGCAGGGTGGAACGGATTTGGAGGAATCTGTGATTAGAGGAGCCATTTTCCTCTCACTTCTTTCTCACGCACCACCGTGCGGACTTGAACGTGCTTTTCACAAGAGGAGGGTCGGAGGAGGAAGGCGTCTCTGGAGAGGGGCCCTGCGTGGGTGCTACCCCTCACAGAGGCAGAGGAGGGGCTGCAGCCTGCCCCGCCACGCTCAGCAAAGCCGCAGAAGCTTCCCTGAGCCCGCAGCAAGGGCCTGGGTGTTTGCCGAGAGGGTAGCGGATGCCCAAGGGGTCCGGTGGTCCTCTCAGGGCAGCTTTGGGAGCAAGGGCAGAGGAACGGCCTTGGAGGAGGCCCCTCTGCCCCCTACAAGACTCTGTTTGACCCCCAAGTAACAAAGATGTTATTTCCGGGAGGACAGGCAGGAGAAATTCTGAGCAATCTTGTAACGACACTGGTCAAGTCTGGTGTGACTGAGAAAACACACGTATCATCGGCGTAGGGAGCAGTGTCGGCTCAGTGCGACAAACACAAACACGTTTCTTTCCTTCCGCCCGTGCTCAGCTCTGGGCCGTGGCGGCTCCCACCTGCCACCCTGGTGTCTTGGGGCAGGTTCCCTCTTTCCCAGTCTTTTTGGTGATGAGCACTCAACTCAGTTTAGTTTCCTGCCGGTTTAAGTCTTTTGACCTTCTCTCCCTCCCTGAGCACAGTTTGTGCTGCGACCCCATCTGCATGGATTGGATGGGGATGGGCCAGCTTCCCTCCCTCTGCAGCCCCGGCTCCGCCAGGGCACTGCTGGGAAGAGAGGACGCAGATGCCGTTGCTTTATTTTCCTGGTTCCTGTCTGTGGTCAATGCACTTTCCTGGGCTCACTGCTTCTTCCCCGCCAACACCGCCTGGCTCCTGGGGACCTCGGAGGACTGGCAATTACACTTGTATGTGGGCTGCATGGTGAGGAGCACGTGGGGGCCGTGGAGAGGGCTCTGTGGCAGTTCTCCAGGGCGCTGCCTGCCACTCTGGCCACCTTCCCCTCGCCTCCCTTCCCTTTATACATGCAGAGCTGGATGCAGTGACTGTGGCTGGTTGCAGGAGAGCTGCCTTTGCTGCCTCTCAGTAGGCTTTGCGGGGAGGTGTCCATCGCCAGTCCTCAGCCGCTTGCTGTGGGTCTCTCGTTGGCAATCCTGCCGACGGTTGTCTCGATGACCTGAAGGGCTTTAAAAAACACACACATAGCCATGTCCCCACCCTCAAAGTTTCTCTGTAATTTCTTTGGAGAAAAGCTAAGCGTTGGGCATTTCCAAGGCTTCCCATTAAAATTCTAACATGGAGCAGGGGAGGGTGGGGACCCCTTTGGGGCACTCACTTGCTTGGCTTACCGTGTGGGCTGCAGGACTGATTCTGGGGTAGCAGAAACCGGGTCCCCGGGCGTCCCTGTGGATGTGACGGAATGACTTCCTGGAGGGGACTGAGAGGTTGTGTTCTTCTCTCAAGTGGAGGGAGACCAGATCCAGAGGTTGACTTATAGAAAATAATGACCATATTTTGCAAAACTGAGTTTTTAGCTGTGAAAAATGTCTTCCACAATATCGTGTTAGAAAAGCAAAATATTTCCCAAAACTCTATGAAAGGCAGGAAAAAGAAGACAGACCTGGAGGTCATATGCTTCACCTTTGTAAACGGACCATGTCCACGTGCTTACTTGGCGTTGGGCACAACTGGAGAAGGCAGCTGAGGGGCTGTCTCAGAACAAAGGCCGGGGTGTGGAACAGACGTGTGCTCAGCACCCAAGAAGCGGTACAGAGAACCGAAATGTCAACAAGTCTTGTTTTGCTATTTTAAAATAAACAGTGTTGTGTTTATGTGGAAAAAAATAATCTGCCTGGGACACCCAATTCTCCACCGACGGCAAGTCACGAAGGAGTGTCTATTGAACACAGTGAAATTGTGTCCTGAAAAGATATAAACACATGCAAATGCAAGTGTGACTAGAAACACTGTCTCTCAATGTTCTGGAAATAGAGCTTGGAAACGCAAGATAAATCGTGTGAAAGTTTCAAACACTGCAACATTTGCTGTTGCCGCTGATGACGGTGCAGGTTTAGTAATATTTAGATGTGAGTCCTACTGGTTCACTGTGACTTTGAGAATTTGTGTATGACTGAAAGTGTTTCAAACAGTGGGGTCACAACAGGCACACAGCAGGACGTAATGAAGACAGTCATTGTGCTGCCGGAGGAAACGGTTGAACTGTTTAGCAGAGAATGGTGTTCCGGGGACAGACGCTGCTCACGTTGGACCTGCCATAAAACCGAAGTTCCATGTGGCAAGTTATGTAAGGACACGGGCGGACGTCTCCTCCTCTGCAGCGTTCGGCAGGATGGCATTCTGCTGGGAGTTAAAAACGGAACGTGTCTTGGACACGGTGCTCGCCACCTGTCAGCTGGCTCCCCTCCTGGGGCCGGGGCCAGGGAGCCTTCGGGGACTGTTTGACGGATTGGACGCAACCCAGCATTCTGCTCACTGCACAGCACAGAGGTCGGGTTGGTCACAGCAGGATGCGGAGGAGGGTGGCTGAACGGCTGAAGTGAACTCGTGGACATCCTCCGAGGACAAGAACGCGCTGCATGTGCTCAGGCAGTAGATTGTTATCACATAATCAGCCGTTTGGTTGACACTTTGGCTGTTTCCCCGAAAATGCATCCACAAGCAGTTTAAAAAGTCCTGGGGAAAGTGACCTAGCGATTTGGTACTGTGTTCTGCCTTAGAATCGGTTTCTGGAAATGTAATGTAACGGGCATTGCGATACTGAAGACCTAGTTCCCAGATCGCGCGCCGATTTCCTCCGCTGGGAGGCCCACCTTCCGCGGCTCAGCGCTGCGCGGTGCGTCCTTACCGACAGCGCGAAAGGGGGTCCGCGGTGTGACACTGGACAGGGTGTGCAGGGAGTGTGCCGACACTGCAACGCCAATCTGTCACGCAAAGATTTTTGAAAATCTTTGAAAATCCTGATTGAAAAGGCCTAATTTCTGCACAGCTTGTTTCCATTATTAAACTAAATAAAACCACGGATCGTTTCTAGGCAAGGCTGCCTGGCAAGACTGAGTTCTGCGTTCGAGCAAACTCGATACA